TATAATATTAGCAATGAACCTCTTATCAGGGAATTAAGTTTAGAAGAAAATTTTATCAAATTTTATTTTATTATTTATCATTCTCTCAGATTCTTGCATAGTTTCCTGTGTAGTTTAAATTTCATGCATTTTTAAATGCGAAAAAATAATCTCGAATGTTCTACGAGGAGATGTACCCAGCTCTAGCTTACACATCTCATTTACGAATGTAATTCAATTTCCCATTTCAATATCTCTTTGTTTTCTGGAACATTTCCTGTCTATATGTATTAGTGACAAGGTTGTCACGAGAAATCCACTACGAAAACGTATCGTATATTTTAAGAACGAAGAGTTCTCGGAACTATAATCTTGGTTAAATTTAATCTGATTTGATTATCGAAATTAATAAGTTGCATTAGAATGCAATATCGTTTGTTACACACGAGTCTTCGATATCAAGCACTGCTGTTGTGCAGAATAAAGTCGCGTGATTAGATGGAAATTGTTTATCGCAATTATTACTTGAACTGGATGATGTATATGAGAAAAATATATCATGCACGTTCGTAATTTAATCAATATAATAATCTTATGTAGGAGATTTTAATTAACCCGTTGTACTCGGCGCTCTTTACGTTATAGAAACATGGTAATCCAAAGACTTTCTGCCATAAAGTCGACGATATTTTCAAAACGTTAAATAAGAAATGCAAATTAATTGTAAGACGTAGAATTATTTTACCTCGATATTCCACTCGTTGTTAGGCAATTTTAAATTCGAGATATTAATTAACAACGATCTTTAGAATCTGTTTAAATGGCGACTGAGTGTCGCCTCTCGAGCGCAAAGAGTTAACAGAGCGTTTTGTTGGTGGCTAAATGTTCTATTCAGTCCTCGACTTGGGCGAATGTCTCAAAAACGTATCTTCGGCAATCTTATAGGGCGCATCTCCTTTCCGCGGCCTCGTCTTCAAGTGTGGGTGCCTCTTCGGTTGAACTTTAATCCAGATGCGTATTGCTGCGTTATTGATTATAGTCAAATAACTATACTATTATAAGTATCTTTGTTGCGTCGCTGGAACCGCACGTCCCAAGTTGTGACGTGTCCTTTGACACCAGGCCACTATTTGGGTGAATTTTAGCAAGGTTAATAAATCACTTTTGAGACGATGGACAAAAGAACCAAATTTGTTTTAAGATCCAGCATCACTGAAAGACTTCGAAGCTAATACACACCCAATATTATTCACAACCAATAGGAAGACACCCGACAGTTACATTTTACACTAACCAATCAGAAGATGTACGAATTTATAAAACCACCGACATAGGATGCACGGAGAACGGAGAATTTTCCTCAAAATTCCAAGAAGAAAAGACGATCATCACGAGGAATTCTACCTCGATCTAAAGCAGTCAAGACCAATCCGCGACGATCAATTCAACGCCAAAGTACAATCGTACATCAGAATTCTTTAGTTCAACCCTAACCAGGTCTAGCCCAATTAATTTAGAGTGCAAGAAAAATTCTTAGTCGAATTTTATATTTTTGTTTATTGCACTTGTGATTACCTTGGATTACTGCAACTTACAGTGGCGTCATAGTTATATAACAAATTAACATTAAGAAATTGAATAAAAATTCTTATAATTAGCAAAGAATATTCTTTATAATTTTATAAATACTATTATGAATAGAATAGTATAGTAGTGTAATAAGTATAAATATTGCTATTGTTGAAAATAAGATACCTCTTAACACATTTAAAAAATCAGTCTCATAGGAGAAATAGACATGTCTTTGAACTATGTGTCGAAGAAGTTCCAGGAACGCGTGAAGTGTTTACTAGAAGTGTTTTATAAAGAATGATAGTTATTTCTTTTTACCCATAATCCCAATAATTATTATATTTATATTGAATACATTTTACGGACACGTGTCTGATAACCGCCTAATCGTCTTCCCAGTTCTGTGTTTTATATAAGTGTATGAATTCACTATAAACATAGTAATTACCTTTAAATTTTGGTTTAAATTTCCTTTCTCGGAATTAAGCATGGAATCTTTCCTTTCTCATCTGTTTAATAGTGAGAGCTTAAGGGACTTCGTAACTATATACACATCGCTATTAAGGTATACGAAGTTATACAAGTTATAGTAATAATCTGGTGTTATAATCTGGTAATAATCTGGTTATAAGACAGCTACTCAATCTTCAGCAGTTAATATCCAGCAGTTTAATCATAAACTTTCAGTTCTGCCTCTTGTATGATATTCAAATTGATGATTACCTCATCGTGCTAAAATCAAACTAAAATAAGTTATAAAATATTAATGTATTATATATATTATATAATATATTATTGGGATTATAGGTTTATAACTGTAAAATAACCACGATATATATAATTCCTTTTTAAATTCTTTTATTACTCAAGAGAGGTATAGCTATCTTTGAGTGCTTCTCTAGAGCAACTGACCGATTCGTCGGAGTGTGCTAAGAGGCTACATGACGTAGTTCCCTGAAATAAATTAATAAAAATTAAACATTCTGTTAATCCTTGAATATCGTTCCGGTATTTCGTTCATCCTTTTGTTTAGAACAGACTGTGCGAAGGCTCTGAACTTTTACATGTACCAGTGTTGCTGCCCTAGAACCGCAGTATCGCAGGTCAAGTGGAAGACTGTTTTATGTCTTTATTGTCAGCGTCCCTTGACTTCCATACACGCATTATCACCTAAGCTACCACTTAGGTATAACCGTAAGAAGCAACAGTATATCACCCTTAAGACGATGGGCATGGGGACCCAGATTGTTTAAACATCCATCACCACCGAAAGTCGCTGGAGGTAGACAATATTATTTGTAACCAATCATCAGACAGGGGAATCTTATAAAACTACCGGCAGAACCATCAAGAAGAAAGTTCTCTAAAATACAGTCCACTATATACATCGAACCTAGACACAACCTTCCTCAATGAACCGTCCGTCGCTAATCGTCGCCAACTAAGACCGGCCTACTGACGATATACAGATTCGTTCTCGGAATTTAAGTCTTATAAACTACTTATTCGCATCTTATATTCTAGATTGATTTTTGTATATAACTAAATTTACCTTTTCAACATATATGTGGGAATGGTGAGCGCAGTGTGATTAGGGTATAAGATCACCGCCTGTGACAGTATCTTTTGCATGGGAACGCGTGGGCCGTTCCTCGAAAATAGAGGATAATAAACAGCGATCTCGGATTTGGCTCTGTTAAAGGAGTTATAACGCAAAGGAATAGTAGTCAGTGAAAATGGTGGAAAAACTGTATAGATCTTTATTGAGCGGATGAACGGTTTGAACTGGTTTGTTTGGGGCCACGCAGGTCACAGGACTTCGCCAGAAAACAGGGGATAAAAGACAAAACGCAGGAGAAGAGATCGCCTCCACATCGCTAGGATGTAGAGTTTACTTTATTATTTAATTTTATTACAACAGGCTCGAACGTATTGTATGGAGTGCATGCGGGCTCCAATAATCGTACAGATATAATATAGTAGCATATGTATAATACATACGTGCGTGTACGATTTAATATTTCGTGCTGTTCTATCGTGGGACAAAAACCAGGTCTAGAGCTCATTTCACATTTCGCACGTTTCATTTTTATCTGTTTATTATACATTTTTGCAAACCTCTGTTTGTTTTCTCGGGTCACCAGATACCAGGCATTCTTCAGCGCCTAATTTTAACATTAGAACAACCGACAATTGTCGTATACCTACTTCTCCGGGAGGGGGGTTAAAATGACCTGTTTCATAAATTCATAGGTCATTTAAGAAAAGACATAGCAATTTTTACATTTTTATGTATTTTTCTTTTTTCTGAGCGAGAATTGAATATAAACTGAATAAGAATAGTAATATAATAACAATAATTTAAAAAATAATTACGCATGTAAGTCAAAGACATTTTTTGCAAGTTACAATTAGTTTAGCAGAGCATCTACTACAGACTCGTTTATGATACGTACCACAAATATTGTTCGTTTTATTATTAGTACAATATGCTATTTGACTGACCTGGCCTTTGAACCCTCGGTGACTTTCGTAAAACTACGTGTACATGCAGTTTCAGGAGCGAAACATCGCTCCAACATGTCAGACATTGACCAACTTCAAGAACGAAACATCGCTTCAAACAAATCTATATTTCATTCAGGGAGCGAACCACGTCGCTCCCAAGTTAGTCTCAGCGACTCATCAAGCATTATGAATAACCGTTCATCGTTCAGTGGTTATTTGCTACATATTCGGAACGGACACGGTCACGTCGAGAATCGTGTGGCACCGTGCAATCATTGGATCATCCGAGTCAAAGTTTGACGAATCATTGGTCCTTCGTGCCGAATCCTTTGCACTCGTTGGCCTTATAATCCAACACCCATGCCCGCTACATTGATCCTCGAATTCACAGATTGGTTCCGTAACGTGTATATGTATGTATATATATTTCTAACTGTTTAACGAGAAAATGTTTTGAACAAAAGTATTACTATTCAATGAAGAATTTACAGATGAAAAAGAAAATTATGAATATTACAGTTTTTTCATAAAATCCGGAATCATTTTATAGTTTTTATATAGCAGCGTATATATTTATTAGCATACTTTTAAATTATGGGGAAAGATGAATTTTGTGATACGTGTTTCATTTTAAGTATCGGATGCTACAATAATATGATTTGTTTGCTGAATTGTTATCTTTGCGACAATTGTTATTTTAGTGTAATGCTTTAATTTTTAAATGAATAATATTTACTATATTTCTGTAATAATTTCATCTCCGTATATCAGCCTTGCCTAGGACTAATCGTCCAATACCGGGAAGTGAATCGGTTGACTTATCGCACGCTGATAATGAGCTTTGTATATACTTCCTTCCTTTTTAAACCCGATGTGTTATTACATTTTAATTAGTTGATATTTTTTCAATTTTATTTTCTTACCGAGTCGTGTATCAATACTCGTAGAGTGTAGACGTGTTACGATACACTCTGAAGTGTAAGCAAATATATAAATATATAGGGGAATGGTGCTATAAAATTAAACCAAATAAAGTCGAAACAGAAACCAGTATGGATGAGTTCGGAAGAAAAAATACAGCGTCTAAAATTATCCAAAATCAGACACACTACAAGTGGATAAGAATGGGAATTCTGCCGTCAACAGACGAATTAAGTGTAAGAGAAAGAGAACACACAAATATAGGCATTGAATCAAGTGAAAACTCTAAGAAAAGAAAGATCCATAATAATGCCGATACTGGAAACGGGGATCCATCAACCAGTATGAAATCATCTAACCCAGGTAAATCAAGAATGTTCAAATAAGATGTAATAGAACTGCTACTAGGTCAAAACAACAATGACGCATAGAAAATTACAAGACTAACACTATCATTAATATTGTCATTAATGTAGGGTCATCAAAATCTAAAAAAGACATTTGGCTATGCGAAAACAGTCAACGATACACAGTTAATTGGGAACCATATCGCGTAAGATGCGTTCAGTCACAATTCTCAGCACAATGTTCTGAAGAAGAAACAGTCAACAATATACCCTGCGTACATTGTCATGCGATTCACCCAGAAAGTGCTTATAGGAACCAGCGTAAATTACTGAGGGAAGAAGAGCATAAAATTCCAAATGAGACACAGGGGAACCTGTGTTCCATATTGCAAGATAAGCAAATAAGCCAAACCTCACGAGGAGTACAAATAACACGGGAATTACAAACCTCAGTATCCACGAAAAGTCACAAAAGCCGAAACCAAAAACAAACACTTACAACGCCTCGCAGAACGTCTAAACCGAGCGCAAGAAGCAAAAGCACACGCACAAGTACTGCAAACATTGTTGTTGAGAAAATAGACAGGCTTACGAATCTTGCAGAACAACAAATACAACATTTGTCGATATTGGTGAATATGATATTGAAATTAACTGCTATGGTAGACAAATATTTATGCCCTAAATAATGATCTAGAACTGCAATGGGTTATAACAGAGAGGTACAGTATTGCAGGAATTTCTTCATACACACAGTACTGGAATTTGCTCCTACAAGAGACGCATGAAATAGAAAGAAACCATTACAAAATCTACCTATACCACTGTTATAGTACACGAAACCCGAATATTCGTGGCAGAGCTGAAACAGCAATTCTTGTGAAAAAGGACTTCAAGCACGGAAAATTACAAGGTACGAGCTCCGACTTCGTCCAAAATATCAATGTGAAAAGATACTTTTCAGACATCCAGCCAATTATTTTCTCACCCATGTACTGCCCGCCAAGAGGGAAAAATCCAACAGACGGCATAGAACAATCCCTGAAAGAACTAAGAGGGAGATACATAATGTGAGGAGACTACAACGCTAAGCTCTTGTCATGGGGTTCGCGACTAACAACTTCAGAGGAATTGTACTTCATAAAATAATACAGAAAAGGAACCTGAGAACAATCAGTCAAAGCAGGCTAATGTACTGGCCCAGTAGAAAAGAGATCCTGCCAGGCAGACTTTGCTTACCCACTTCTTCCCAAATGTAAGCGACATGCAGACCAAGGCAGAAGAGACTTCAGATCACTCACCAATTATCCTCACGCTAAACAAAAATCCGCGATATATGGAATCAAGGTCAGTCACAACGAAATCCACACACTGGCTAATATTCTAGGAAACATCAATAAAAGCCTAACGTGCAACGTCCACCTAAAAACAGAAGAAGAAGGCCAAGAATACACCACCATAACAATTCAAACGAGTGCATGCAAAGTTGCACTATATGGCAACAAGATACAATACAGTCACGAGCAAATATTTAGATTCATACTAGACAAACTCAAAGAGAGGAGAAGAGCAATAAAAAGATGGCAAAGCAATCACACTGCTGAAAATAATAGGACTGTGAACAAGTTAACAAAACAGATTAAAAGACTTTTACTCGATCAAAAGAAGAATAAATTTCAGGTCTTTTTTAGAAAGCTAGAAACCATTTCTACAATTATCTATTTTCTATAGAAAACAGTTAAGCTAAAACTATGTTGTTTTTTAAAATTTCCTTTATAATTTAAATCGAAATAAATATTGTAGAATGCATAAATACAAATGCAACTTTCATATAACGGTATATAAAATCTATAAGAAAAAATAGCCAAAAGGTAATCGTTAGTAATGTTACCATTTTTACGTTACTGGAAGAGTTAATCGATTTGGCAAGTCGAAAAAAGTAATAAATTTAAATTTTACTAAATTTTACTTAAATTCTGATAAGACGGCACTAAAAAATTCACCGTTATCGTTCATGGCTTGCTAGTGCATTCAAGTTGCATTATTGCAACGATTTACATTAGAGTACGGAGTTAATCAAAGTGACCTCTGAAATAAATTATTTATTATTCAGTGGCCAAAAAATTGTTGTTTAATGGTGTTAATCTTAATTATCAGGGAAAGTTATTATAAACATAAAAATTTATGACTATACCAAGTGCTTTGCCACTTAAATTTAAGATTTTTCAAAAAGTGGAATTAATCGATTATGCAAGGCTTATTTATGTTTCACTTCAGGTTTCAAACTCAGGAAATTTAAAGAAACAAAAGATTTTTGTATTCCACGTGTCTCCAAGTTCGCTTTATTGTTGCATTAGACGTACCTGCTGGTCTTCATACCACTATGCTACATAGTCAATTTCCTTTGACTGATACGATCTTCATCGACCTAGATTTATGACATATCCTATAGTACCAGTAAATTTCCTGATACATCTTCATTGTTAGGTATTGTGTACATATCTACAACATTTCGATTTCTGCGGCTCGCGGTGTTTATAGCTCAATAGCGATAAGCAAAAGTTAATATGTCCCCTATTCGATCAGTCATTCCGACGTAATACCGACGACGATAAACAATTTTTTCTATAAATTACATGTTTCTTCTGTTAAATCGTGCAAATTTTACAATTACAGTCATCAAGTTGTCTAAAATTTATATCATTTGTTGATTATATCGTCGAACTATTTGTAGATAAATTTTAGTCATCTGATTTAATCCTTTGTACTTGGGGAACGAATCTTTTTAAATAAAACGGTACAACGTTGGGATTAATTACGTTATACAAATGATATATACAGGGCGTCCCAACAACGCTAATACAACCGGAAAGGGAGTAATTCTACATGCAGAAGCGAATCGAAAAAGAAAAATACAATTTTTAGATTTGAAGTTCCATTTTCGAAAAATCGACTTTGAATATTTACTGAGGTCGCATGCACTTAACACTTTAAGTGTCCAGCACATTTTGCTTGCCGTTCCATTCAGGCTCAAATTTGGCCGGCAAGTGAACCACCGGTGGCGGGTGAAATGTTCATAAAACTCGGAGATACTGTACCAATTGTTGTAGCAGGAATTTCCAAACGTTAGATCCAAAGATGGCGAAAAATTTAACACGAAAAGTTAATACCTTTTGGTCCTAGTCTTGGCCGGTTCCCGAGGACCGGCAGGGCCCAAGCGGAAAGTCTAGAGCTGGTCCCTGGGGACCGGCGTGGCACTTAGCGTGTTAAACCAAATATCTATGTTGCGTTCCGAGTACTGCATCTTTCACTTTCGGAGTTTCGCGGGGTTGTATGGTCTATTACGCGGATGCGACAATGTTGCAGGGATGCGGTCTGTTGCTGCCCTAGAACCGCAGTATCGCAGGTCAAATCTTTCGGAGTTTCGCGGGGTTGTATGGTCTATTACGCGGATGCGACAATGTTGCAGGGATGCGGCCTGTTGCTGCCCTAGAACCGCAGTATCGCAGGTCAAGTGGAAGACTGTTTTATGTCTTTATTGTCAGCGTCCCTTGACTTCTATACACGCATTGTCACCTAAGCTACCACTTAGGTATAACCGTAAGATGCAACAGTATATCACCCTTAAGACGATGGGAATGGGAACCCAGATTGTTTAAACATCCATCACCACCGAAAGTCGCTGGAGATAGACACACCCCAATATTATTTGTAACCAATCAGCAGACAGAGGACTCTTATAAAACTACCGGCAGAACCGTCAAGAAGAGAGTTTTCTAAAATACAGTCCACTATACACATCGAATCTAGACACAACCTTCCTCAATGAACCGTTCGTCGCTAATCGTTGCCAACTAAGACCGACCTAGTGACGATATACAGATTCATTCTCGGAATTTAAGTCTTATAAACTACTTATTCGCATCTTATATTCTAGATTGATTTTTGTATATAACTAAATTTACCTTTTCAACATATATGTGGGAATGGTGAGCGCGGTGTGATTAGGGTGTAAGATCACAGCCTGTGACAGTATCTTTTGCGTAGGTATGACTGTAGAGTGCATGGGAACGCGTGGGCCGTTCCTCGAAAATAGAGGATGATAAACAGCGATCTCGGATTTAGCTCTGTTGATGGAGTTATAACACAAAGGAATAGTAGTCAGTGGAGACGGTGGAAAAACTGTATCGATCTTTATTGAACGGATGAACGGTTTGAACTAGCTTGTTTGGGGCCACACAAGTCACAGGACGTCTCCAGAAAACAGGAAATAAAAGACAAAACGCAGGGGAAGGGATCGCCTCCACATCGCTAGGATGTTGAGTTTACTTTACTATTTCATTTTATTACAACAGGCTCGAACGTTCCGAGTATTGTCTGAAGTGCGTGCGGGAGGACGAGTGATGGTGTGCAAGAATCGCATGAACGGGATATTCATGGTAGTATGGATGCAAGTGAAGAGCGAAGTGCATCTGAGTGTTTTGGATACGTGACACACCGAGGACGAAGCTGTGAGAAATGCGTGATTGAGAAAGAGAGCACGAGTATGAAAGGAAACAGAGTGCAAGGTTTAAAAAAGGGTGCGAGGATGCGTATGAGGACAGCGCTTTGAGAGATAGTCAATGTGAAAGTCATAAGCTTAGAATAAGTTAGTTCATAACAAATTATATATTTATTATTTACCACCGTTGTTTTGCTGCCACCCAATAATCGTACAGATATAATATAGTAGCATATGTATAATACATACGTGCGTGTACGATTTAATATTTCGTGCTGTTCTATCGTGGGACAAAAACCAGGTCTAGAGCTCATTTCACATTTCGCACGTTTCATTTTTATCTGTTTATTATACATTTTTGCAAACCTCTGTTTGTTTTCTCGGGTCACCAGATACCAGGCATTCTTCAGCGCCTAATTTTAACATTAGAACAACCGACAATTGTCGTATACCTACTTCTCCGGGAGGGGGGTTAAAATGACCTGTTTCATAAATTCATAGGTCATTTAAGAAAAGACATAGCAATTTTTACATTTTTATGTATTTTTCTTTTTTCTGAGCGAGAATTGAATATAAACTGAATAAGAATAGTAATATAATAACAATAATTTAAAAAATAATTACGCATGTAAGTCAAAGACATTTTTTGCAAGTTACAATTAGTTTAGCAGAGCATCTACTACAGACTCGTTTATGATACGTACCACAAATATTGTTCGTTTTATTATTAGTACAATATGCTATTTGACTGACCTGGCCTTTGAACCCTCGGTGACTTTCGTAAAACTACGTGTACATGCAGTTTCAGGAGCGAAACATCGCTCCAACATGTCAGACATTGACCAACTTCAAGAACGAAACATCGCTTCAAACAAATCTATATTTCATTCAGGGAGCGAACCACGTCGCTCCCAAGTTAGTCTCAGCGACTCATCAAGCATTATGAATAACCGTTCATCGTTCAGTGGTTATTTGCTACATATTCGGAACGGACACGGTCACGTCGAGAATCGTGTGGCACCGTGCAATCATTGGATCATCCGAGTCAAAGTTTGACGAATCATTGGTCCTTCGTGCCGAATCCTTTGCACTCGTTGGCCTTATAATCCAACACCCATGCCCGCTACATTGATCCTCGAATTCACAGATTGGTTCCGTAACGTGTATATGTATGTATATATATTTCTAACTGTTTAACGAGAAAATGTTTTGAACAAAAGTATTACTATTCAATGAAGAATTTACAGATGAAAAAGAAAATTATGAATATTACAGTTTTTTCATAAAATCCGGAATCATTTTATAGTTTTTATATAGCAGCGTATATATTTATTAGCATACTTTTAAATTATGGGGAAAGATGAATTTTGTGATACGTGTTTCATTTTAAGTATCGGATGCTACAATAATATGATTTGTTTGCTGAATTGTTATCTTTGCGACAATTGTTATTTTAGTATAATGCTTTAATTTTTAAATGAATAATATTTACTATATTTCTGTAATAATTTCATCTCCGTATATCAGCCTTGCCTAGGACTAATCGTCCAATACCGGGAAGTGAATCGGTTGACTTATCGTACGCTGTTAATGAGCTTTGTATATACTTCCTTCCTTTTTAAACCCGATGTGTTATTACATTTTAATTAGTTGATATTTTTTATTTTCTTACCGAGTCGTGTGTCAATACTCGTAGAGTGTAGACGTGTTACGATACACTCTGAAGCGTAAGCAAATATATAAATATATAGGGGAATGGTGTCATAAAATTAAACCAAATAAAGACGAAACAGGAACCAGTATGGATAAGTTTATAAAAAAAAATGCAGCGTCTAAAAGTACCCAATATCAAACACAGAACAATTGGACAATAAGAAAAAGTGAAAGTCCGCTGGCAAGAAACGAATTTGAAGTAATAGAAGTAGAACCCTTAATTAATGAATATACAAATGTAGGCATTGATGCAAGTGAAAACTCTAAGAAAAGAAAGGTCCATAATAATGCCGATACTGGAAACGGGGAGCCATCAACCAGTAAGAAATCATCTAACTCAGGTAAATCATAAAAATTTTCAAATATGAAGTAATAGAATTGCTACTAGGTCAAAACAACAATGACACGTAGAAAATTACAAGACTAACACTATCATTAATATTGTCATTAATGTAGGGCCATCAACATCTAAAGAGGACATTCCGCGATGCGAATGCTGTCAACGATACACAGACAATCGGGAACCATATTGCGTAAGTTGCGTTCAGTCACAATTCTCAGCACATTATTCCGAAGAAAAAATATTCGACGATGTAACCTGCGTAAATTCTTATGGGAAGCACTCAGAAAGTGCTTATAGGAACCATTGTAAATTGCTGAAGGAAGAAGGTAAAATTCCGAAAGAGACATGGGAGAAGCCGTTTTCCATGTTCCAAGATATGGAAATAAGCCAAACCACACAAGGAGTACAAGTAACACCGGAATCACAAACCTCAGTATGCACGAAAAGTCACGAAAACCAAAAGCAAAAGCAAACACTCACAACACCTCGCAAAAGCTCCAAACAGGGCGTAACAATCAGAAACGTGCACACAATTACTGCAAACACTGTTAGTGCAAAAATAGATAGGCTTACGATTCTTATAGAACAAAAAATGTCGATATTGATGGAAATGATATTGGAATTACGTGCTACGATAGAGAAACTTTTATGCTCTGAATAATGATCGTCGTTTATAATTTTGTCGCTTGATGGTGTTAATCTTAATTATCAGGGTAAGTTATTATAAATATAAAAAGTTACGACTATATCAAGTGCTTTGACAGTTAAATTTAAGATTTTTCAAAAAGTGCAGTTAATCGATTTGTGCAGTGAACGGCTCATATTAAAACTCTTTATTTTTCAATTAATTCGAATGTTACTCGAATATCATTGTGATCCACCAGTGGAGTATGTAATAAATGTAATGTAAACATTGTTTAGTATTTCATTGAATTATTCTTTAATTTTATTCATTTAGTCTTAAAGCTCTTGCTATACGTACCATATTAATTCAAAAACTTTGCTTTATTCTGTATCTTTCATTTGTTACAAACAGCAAATATAAGCGTTTGAACATTTTCGTGTGTAAATTTATAATTATTTATTACAAAATATACTTATTAATTGCAAAATATACTTCATTTTATAGTATTCGTTTTATAACATTTGTTGTATATCTGAAATCAATTTACACTACATCCTGTTCGTAGTATCATAAATTATGTAGATCAATATTAATCGTTCGCAGTTATATGTCGATTTGCATTCTGTTCCATTCGATTCTTTTTAATTATGCTATACAAAACATTATCTTTTGTGTCGTAATTTAATTTGACAGAGACATGTCAATGTAGATATATTATCGGCTAAAAAAATATGAAAATAAAATTGAATTTTGGCTAATGACAGCTTCGAAACTTTTATTTATTTATTTATGAAGGTGCAACAGCTTTTATCGTATAATACATTTATAATTAAGTTAGTTTAATTCACGAGAAGCACTTAAAGCTCTAATTGCACTTCACCTAAAGATGTCAGTAGGATTAAAAAATCGATATATTCACAGTACCTATTTACATAGATGATGACCCTGTTAATAGAGCTGTAATATACAAGGTGGGCCACTAAACGTGACCTCTTCCATCATTTTCGCTTTCAATAAGACGATTTTTCCTGTTTTCAGTGACACAGTTAACTTAACAAGAATCAGGTGTCATTATCTTCTCGTTTTATTTTCGACAAGATAACGTTTTATTATTTCTCGAGTGAAACCGTTGCAAATAATCGAGATGGTCACGTTACATAGGTATACCCTGTCACGTATCCCTGTATAGTGTACTGTAAAATTGTTGACGAAGCAGTATATAGTTTGCGAAGAGCTTAGATAAAAATATAATTATAAATACTATAAATAAATATAAATAAAATAGATAAAAATAATATAAGATGTAAGGATATCTTATCGTATCGAGTAAGATCTTCTGAGAAAAAATATGAAGGTTCACGAAATTCTGCGTTTGAGATTCATAAAATTTGTGACGCGTATCGAAATATCATAAACATGTCACATGCTTTCATTTTCGAGATATCGTCATTTAAATTTCCGAACACGAATTTTTTATAATAGCAGTTGGTTGTGTTGTATGATTTGTTTGAACATATAACATTTGTTTTTATTCATTTCTTCTGATAAATATGTAAATTGCATATTTCGCAACTTAATTCACGAATGAACTAAACTTTCTTGAGGTTGTGAATGTGGATTTGGTTTTATTAGTGTGAATGCAAGTGTGTGAGGTCAAGTAATGGCAGGAATGTAGATATGTATGTTTTTAGAAGTGCGAGTGGAAGATATAGAAAGCGTGGTGTTATGCAGTTGCTATGGATCAGAGTCAATATGTTATAAGGAAATTCAGTTTGTTATAAGAAGCGTGAGAGGAAACAATTAGGATATAAGACGTGTGTAAATTATAATTTTATAATAAATATACGGTTGTTATACAACAAATTCACATATACGTATGCAATGATAGTTACAGTGATACGACGAAAATATATAGAAAATAATTACGTTCGTGTCTGAGTAAAAGTTAAAATTAATTTTGTCAGAAGTAACTGTATGTTCTCGACAATCACGAAAGCAAAAAGTATGAAACCAGGTAATTTATCTAGTTTGGTAGTTCCAGTGTTAATATAGTAGAACTCCATTTACCCGGCATGGTCGGGGTACAAGACACATGGGATAATTGACTTTGTCGGATAATAGCAGTCCACTAGTTCTCCTTCCACCCGCTATTTATTCGTTCGTATAATTCTAGTTTATTTTCATATAACTGATTTCTCTACTCATTCGTGTAAATATATCTGTGTTGTGAGTACAAGTACACTGAATTCCACCATCACTGATTGTTCCGTTCCGGAGAGCGTGTTTATAACATGATTTTTATTCTACGGCTTACACTTTTAACAAACCTAACAGTTTATTTTAAATTTTATACTGCGACTGCAATTTCGGAGGTTAGATGTGCCTCAACGCCGTTCTAGCGGATTAACCCTTTGCACTCGACGAATTTTTGGCTAAAGATGAGTAGGAGCTCGAAGATTTTCTGCCATAAAGCTAACGATATTTTTTCCAGCAGTAAATAAGAAATTGTATAATAATTAATATGTAGAACTATTTCATTTCCATATCCTGCACACCGTTACATTATGTTAAATTTGACATGTTAATTAATATCGATCTTCGAAATTTGATCAAATGGCGACTGAAGGGCGCCTCTCGAGTGCAAATGGTTAAGTTTATAAAGGTAAAGCAAAGTTTAGGAATTTTATAAGTACCAGACTCGACAGATGGGATCCACGTGTGACAGACCCAACAAGCGACGGACGGACACCACTTATAAATCACGTCATTGATCATCAAAAATTGGCTCCTTGACAGTTTCCTGCTCCTTAGCCAAAGGTCCTTCCGTCACACCCTCTGTCCAATTAAAACTCCTTACTTTTCCACCACCAACATTTATTTTGCCCAATCAGAACTGAACTGGAGAAAACACCGGACAGGACACGACGAGACACGACATAGATCAAATTTGAGAAATCAGTTCGTCTTCGACGCCGATCCTTGAAACATCTTACTTACACATATAAACGCGTGTTCGAAACGGTACTCCGTTCAACGTCTCCATTATGACTATTCTATACTTTTCTATAAATAAACACTCTCTTTTAACCACACACTCTGAATCCTTATTATTGCAACTAGTCACGCAATATTAATTTGGCGCGTGATAAGCGTTCTAGGACATCGAAGGAATTCGATAAATAGGACGCTACACTGATGTTACAACTCGTTATCATGTACATATATACATAGGCAGACTGGATAGAAATTTGTAAATATTACAGCAAGAATAGTAACGTGCTCTGTTAGTAGTGGATGAAATATTAATAACAATAAGAACAATTCTTTATTTAATTACAAAGGCTATCAAACACAAATATTAAGTTTACATATAATTAATTTATCACAATCACATGCTCACACCTCTTCTCACTATTGAAACTCAATTGCAGCTGACCTATGCCAAGTCACTCTCGTTTTGTTCTTTCTTCTTTCGGACATTACATATTACATACACAATTCACACAACACCTCGATCATTACACGCATACTCATTTATCACAATAACCTGAATTCATTAGATAATGCCATCCTATGCATACTTGTTCCACTTATTCCTTTCTTACATACATCGCTCCTTTATTATATCAACACATATGTATTTAAAATTCTATGTAACCATTACCACAAGTTCTTACCCAAATATACTATAAAATGGAAATTTGTTAATAAATTAGAAGTATAAAAGGAATAAGACGTGTATAAATTCAAATTTAGATTTAACACTATTTATAGTTGTCTAAATTAATTAATAAATGAATAATAAAAAAATAAATGAGCAATTAATTGAAATGAAGGAACTGTCGACGAGTGAATATGTATAGAATATGTGTAAGTAAGGATACACATAGGAGACTATATAAGATAATGACTATCAACGTGTGGTGTTGCTACGTCAACTGGTATGCGAAATTTATGAAAAATTGCCAATAGAAATTTGTTTTTTCATTACAAAACTCATTTCAGGGAAAACTATGTGATCAGTTTTGTAGACATTTATCCGTTTAATCCTTATTTCGATATAATTTAGCAACAATTTTGGTAATATTTTTGAATATGGTTCAATTATTTCAATTAAGAAAGTAAAAAGGCAGTGATTCTTTTCCGAGTTTACCATAATATATTACTATGTTAAAGTGCGTCAACTTTTATTACAAATTCTTCATATTACTTACACGGAAAATCAGTTTTTTAAAATATAAATTAGCTTTGCTCAAAATTTGTGTAAGAATAGATGTATCTTGGGCAGATACCCCATTCCCAATATTCCGTCTCCAAGGGAGAGGTTGGCTAAGTGCGGTAGTGTCTTCTTTGACCTCTTAATGATGGGGTTGTTCCTATAGTGCTGGTATGGTGGTATCCCCGTGGTCGTCGTTGCTATAAATGGGGTAGCAGGTAGAAGGACGACGAGAAAAGGAAGGGATGCGTTTCGTCCCGGGCCTGCTAGCGGACTCATCAGTAAGGGTTGCTTAGCAGGTCCTGCCTTAGACACTGGGATACTTACGTGACACGGGTACTCCTATTTAAGAGAAGTCGAGGTTTCACCGTAGACTTGTAAGAAAGTTCTCGAACCTCCTTCAAATAGGAATCCATCTATTGGCGAGGGTAAGAACTTGGTCGCTACAATTTGTGTAAAATTTTGAATTTCAACGTTTGGCTAAGAACCACTGTAAGTTGTATAATAATATGTCGCGTAGAGCTGGATTATAAATTTCTGAAATATATTCGGTTAACCAGGTATCGTGGTGACATTAGTTCGCATAAGTGAAGTGGAGAAACTTTTATAAATATAGTCTCGTTGCTTCCAAAATTCCACCATTTTTCTATACTTTTTACATGCTAGTCTCATTTCATTTAAACGACGCGACGAGGATTCCTCGAATTCTGTTCATTTTGCCACGGTGACTCTGGGTTCTCCAAGGTAGGCTAGGATTTTGTTAGACTGTCCCTGTGGGACCCTAACTATACTAGAGACTACAGTTTATTGTCGTCTATTAAAGAAAACATGTTGACGTTGCTCGACGTTGTTTGGTCTCTATTGT